AGCAGTTAACTGTTCCACTGGGAAGTTTTGTATGGCCAGAGGAAGGAACACTCAACATGCCAGGACCAGCAACACTTCTCAGCATGAAAGAGTGTATTCTTACCTGTGTGCAAAGTGTACTTAACAGAGAGGGAAGCGAATAACCACCATTAGTGTCTCTTTATTTTGTGTTGCAAATATAGAAGGATACACTTGTCCAGCTTTAAATTGCATAGAAGCAGGCATGTCATCTACTTATGTACAGTAGTCACCCAGAAAGGTAAGTTGGCAAGAAGTGCTTCCATGGTCAAAGGTAATGACAAATCAAAACAAATTCAGATAATGTGATGGGAAGATGTTAGACATGATATCACTAAAGTCTCTGCATCAGATTGAGAAGGGTGGACAGCCAGGAGGAGAGAGCACAGCCATGATTACAGGAGAAACAGTTACAGAGCTCTGCTGCTCAAGGGTCTAAGGAAGTGTGGTCCCTGGCTGACACAGCTGTGGAGATGCAAATACATTGGGGAAAACTGTACTTGCAGCAGCAGCATTTTCTTCTCTTTTGAGTAAGTAGGGGGAGTGTACTGGAGGTGGAATAAGGTACACTTGCAAAAGCTCTTAACTATTTTATTAGTCCTGGAAAGCTTTCTTAGTGCACACCTGCCCATTGACTAATCAGTTGAGAAATTAGGTCAGGAAAAGGGTTGATATGAGGGAAACACTTTAAATGTGTATAATTAAAAATCCTTTTTCTTTAAAGGGAAAAATGAAGATGCAAAGCACTTAAATTGAGATTAAAAGTAACAAAGAAATCAGAAGCAGGAATATTAACAAACGTGAAAAGAAAGCAGAGAAAGATAAAATGAAATTTGCATTATTTTGTTGATAAGTCCTTTCTTTAAAATGTAAGTATGAGGTTTTATGAAGCAACATAAAGTACTAATGCTGAACCCAGAAGAAAAAACAACTCTATACACTCAAGTGCAAACCCAATTTGCTAACGTGTTAAAAGACACTTCTCAGGAAGAGCAATTGATAATAACCCTATAATGGCTGATTTTGCAGTGGGAAGTGTTGGAAGACTTTTTGCATGGATAACAGGACTGAATTAATCCCAGATCTCCAGCTCATGTCATTCCTCTAGGAAACAAAATTGTGTTTTGTCTTTCAGTTGCCAAAGTAATCTAATTTTGATGCTATGGGTTTATCTCGTTGATTATACGCTAAAAGTGTCTCCTGAAAAAATGGTTTCAAGCAAGTTATATTTTGAAATGATAGCAATTGAGCATAATGAAATCTCTGAATGTATGAAGTAAGTTTCAGAATTTAAGGACTAAAGGTTTTAGTGTGTGTCATTGTTATTTTTCTTTTCAGATAATATGGTTTGGACAACATGTAACATTCGGCATCACAACAGAAGCAATTTCAACATTATTTCCTCCAAGATATTAATTAAAAATTAATTATCTGTGAGGGTTTTTAAAAGCAGCTAAAAAAAACCTGTTGCAGGTCAAGGTTCATGGCAACTATGCTGACAGAAAATTGTTCCGTTTGAGAGAGTTAAGAGCTTGTATAAAATTTAGGTTGCTAATGCAGAGGCTTTTAAAATTCCCAGGTCTTTCTTTTAGTGCCCATTTGGTATCTGCAGCTCCACATCCTGTCTTGTTAGAAGAGACTACATCTGCCTTAGTACAACCCTGAGCTACATGCTCAGGTTGTAAACCATCAGAGTATCTCTAGGAAATAAATTATCAGTTCATGCTCACTCAGCTCTTACAGTTGCTCTTCAGCACCTCACTCTTGAGCACTCTTAGCGATAAGATCCTGGTCAGGATGGAGTTCTGTTCTGCCTCAGTGCAGCTTTGTGTATGTGTTTCCTGTACTACCTTAATACAGCTGTTCAGTAAAAATAGGTATTTGTGCAAAGTGCTGGACTTGCATTCTGTTTATAAAGTGAAGCACAGCTGCAGTCAGGATTGCCTGTGGCACTGGTAATACAACTGTGCTCTTCTCTCACTTCACTTTTCAATGGCTTACCTAGTTTTATCACTATCAGCCTTTCTAAAATTTGTGACTTACACTGAGACAAGTGCTGTGTATGGGGAAGACAGAGCTACCCCTGTGTATGAGTGGTAGCTCAAGGTGGGTAACCATATGGACAGCAGGGATTCTACCTGCTTCTCACTGCATTCTTAGGGTGGTGTTTAGTTACTTTATGAAGTAGCAGGCGCAAGACAGTTCTTTGTATTTTTAATGTAAAAAAGTCTGTGGGAAGAGAGGGTGGTATAGTTAACTTCTCATGGCTTCTGAACAAGTCTCTTGCCACCAATTTCCAACCCGTGCTGGTGGGTAAGGAGAAAACAGAGTCATAATGGGCCTGCAAAAGCATGATCATGACCGCCAGTGCTCTGCTCAGGACAGAGCCTGTTACAAACAAGGGTTGAAAAGTGAGCTGGCATCATGTCCACTGCAGCTGAGCCAGGATCACTGCACTCTGCTGTGGCCTTATCACATATTCAGGGAGGAGGCAGCTGACTTGCTGATACCAAGTCACAACTGTTGGAGAGTTTAATAGGTCACCTTTGGGGGAAAAAATATAAATGCATAAACCATATATTCTGAAAGGTAAGGATAAACTGATGAAATTCCAATTAACTGAGAGTAGATGTATTGATTTTTGACTGGAATGTTCCAGAGGTAGCCATTCTGAAACATGACCAAAAATGTTAGGCTCTGCAACAGGAAAGAATGAGAAAATTTCCTGCTAAATGGGCTCTTCTGCCTCATCTAACTGGGCTGTAGCAACTCCTGAATGTAAGATAGCTAAATGTGATAAGCTAAATGTGAGAGAAGCCAAGAGAGCTAAAGCAAAGGTGAAAGGGAAAGAAGGGCAGGAGGCAAGGCAAACCATCTCCCTTGGTCACTAAGTTCCTCAGTGCTCACACTGCTACTGGAATTTGCCCCACACAGAGGGACCCCTGTCTTCTGACCATCTGTCATTTTGCAACATAGATGTGGAATTGTTTCCATACCATACAGGTCATTGCTGAAAGGTGGCCGTCATCACCCTTTGTGTCTGGAAATCACAGAAGGTTGGTGTTAAAAGGGACGTCCAGAGATCATCTAGTCCAACCCCTCTGCTAAAGTAGGTTCACCTTGAGCAGGTTGCACAGGATCACATCCAAATGGGTTTTGAGTGTGTCTGGAGAAGGAGACTCTTCAGCTTCTCTGGGCAACCTGTTTCAATGTTCTGTAACTCTCAAAGTAAACAAGTTTTTTTCTTGTATTTGGATGGAATGTCCTGCGTTTCAGTTTGTGCCTGTTGCCCTTAGTCCTTTTGCTGGGTACCACTGGAATGAGTCTGGTTCCGTCCTCTTGACACCTGTTCTTAAGATATTTTTATGCACTGAAATGACATTATATAAAACTAGTCATTTTAAAGTCAAAGGCCTAAAACTATAGGAAGTTTGGAACAGATACAAAGTCAGACCAACAAAGCATAAACCTGTGCCAAGGATGCATTTCACTGAGGATGGATTCACATTCTTCACTCTGTGCTTTTCCTTACCATAGGTCAGTGGTGTCCATCCCTAAATGATGTAAAGGACAGGAAGTCTGTGTGGTCAAAGCAAACCCTCTCCTATTAACACATATGTTCAGACTGTACATACAGCTGACCACTAAGCGTAAAGCATGGACCAGAGAACCTCTTGCCTCAGAAAGAAACTATAGTAGTCTACAACTGACTTCTCACCACCCACCTTGATTACGCACAAACGTAATGTAATTTGCCACTGTAGGTTGGCAGTGTGACATTCAGGAGTGGTAGAAGGACAGAATGCTTCCAAGACTGTTCAGACTTAATCCAAATTCTTTGCCTTTTCTGTCTCATTATTTTGCAGGCTTTAACCAGTAACCATTAGTTTAGATCCTAAGCAACCAAAGAAAACCTTAGAAATGAGCTGTCTTCAAAACAAACAACTACCTTTACCAGCAAGTCTGTGTGCTGTGCTTGCTAGGCAAGGAAAAATTATAACCTGCTCACCTGTATGAAGCAAAGTCATGGTTTTAGCTTTCTCAAATGGTCAAGCTACTCTACCTTCCCGTATAAAGAGTACCTCAAGTAGTGTTTGCATTAGGTTTCCCTTCACTCTGCCCTTTCTTGGCATGACTTTCTTTCTACCTCAGAGACATGGGTGTTAAAACCAAGAACTCCAGTACACCAAATGCTAGACAGTCACCCAAGAACCTCAGCTTAATGCTTACCAACATAGCACAGGGAATTAATCCTGAATATCAAAGTTCTTACAAAAATTAAGTTCGTCTCAAGTAAAGTCCGTTAGAAGATAAAGACAGTCCATTTCTCATCACGCCATGCAGCTCTTGCTTTCTTGAAAAACCACCTGCCCCTTCAGTGCCAGGAGCTGTGAGGAGAGCTACACCATGAGGCAAGCAGCACATTTCCTTCTCTATTCCAAGGGATACTATCAGCTCCACCAAATACTGCCTTTTTAATGGTAAATTTGTTTTCCTCTTCATTGCTTGTTTTCAAAGCACATGCTCAGAGGAGTCTGATTATTTTTTTTCATCTTTCCTACTGTTTCCTACTGCTTCCAATTTGAGCAATAGCTTTCACAAGGTCTACTAATAAAACAGATGAAAATGTGTCTGCTATTTTTTTTACTTCCCATATACTACATGAGAATTAGTAATTCATCAGGACTGTAAAAAGCTCTCAGGAATGTAGCAGCCTTTGCATTTTGGTTGCTGCTGGCACAGCACATATTTTTGGATTCTTCAGTCAGAAAGAAAAACAACCTGTATTGGTCATTATTTCCATCCAAATGCTGCAGCTGGATGGTAGGTCCATTTCTTTTCACCTGAGCATATTGAGGAGGAGTCTATTCCTTAGGTATTCAGAGAAATAATGCCATTGTTCTCCACCTCTAAGCTGGAACACATTTGAAGGACAGAGATAGAAATGCAACTATCTTTAACGATCTGGGGATCCAGCAGGTAGATGGAGAAAGCAGAACATTGCTGATGTTGAAACTTCACCCATCTGAAGGAGTTAAAATGGAGGAAGTGAAATAGGAAGCACTCCTTCCTGACACACACATTCCCTGATCTTGGGAAGAACCATTTCTGCTATACTGGAGTAACACTCAGGTCATCTGACAAAGACAGACCAGAGTCCCTCTCTCTTGATGTTTTCTCTGTTTTATAAAAAGAGTTTTCATCTCTGTTCAGACTGGAGCTTCTTAGCACAGCTGCTCTGACTTCTGCTAAAGCTAATGGCTGGTGGTCAGCACTATAGCACAGGTCATCGTAAGCATAATTTGCATTGCCACAGGGGAAAGTCTGAAGTTTCACCAGTTCTATCCCACTGATATCCAGGTGAGGACAGTTGCTTCGACTTGGAGACGCTGGAGATGTCCGAGAGCTAGGAGAACTGCAATTCCCATCAAAGCCTGAATCTTCCCGCTCTGGATTTCCTTTGAGCTTGGAGCTGGGGCTGAAGTGACAGATATTCTCTAGCACCCATGATCCATAGGTTGGGTTCCAGAGATTTTTTGTTTTGTTTTTAGGTCTGTGGGCTGCTGGATTGGTGAGGTCTAACTTCTGGTTTGATGTCTGCTGCAACCACGACCCGCTGTTGAAATCACTGAGGCATGGCAGGCTGGGCCCTCGGGCAGTCCGATTGCTCAGGTTCTCCACCAGGAGCTCTTGTGGGCATTGTACAAGTTTGTGCCCAGCATGATGAGATTCCATTGTTTTAGGTGTTGTCTGAGGTGTGAGAGAAGGGCTTACCAGCAGCGGCACTATCCCACTGGAAATGTTTGGGCGGATGACCATACTCCCTTCATCCTCTGGTGTAGGGCTACACTCCATGGGCAGCTCAGTGTTGATCACATCAGGGTCCTTAAAAGTAGAGACAAAAATCAGTTACACCTCCAGGGTGATTGTCACATCTGCACTTTAAAAGAAATAGCTATGAGATTGAAAAAGGTTTTGGCAGAGACTGCCATCAGGTTTGGGCAATATTCCTGCACATTGTAAAAGGTGCTATGCAGAAAAAAGATTCTAAGTACCTCATCATGAAATGAAGGACATTTTGCTACTGAACAAGCTGAGAGCTAACGGCATCCACTTGCACAGGAACAGTATCTTTTCATTTTGGCTGGGCTGAAGATGGGAGAGTGAGGATGGATATTGGAAAAGAGCAGTGGAGCCAACAGCACCACCACAACTGGGAAAGTAATTCTATCAGTCTTTCAGGACTCTTCACTTGTTTTAGGGACTAAAGCTAATGAGCTAATGTCTTTGGATAGTTGGCATTCCATGGATTATCATCCTCCTAGATTCCAAAGAGCAATACCTGTGTGCAATATTTGATTCTTTCCAGGATGGTAGAGAAGTTTGGTCGATACTCAGGGCTGTGCTGCCAGCACTGCGTCATGATCCGGTACCTTAAAGTAAGTAAAAAAAAAAAAAAAAGAAAAAAAAAAAAAGTATTGATCAAGAAAGATAATTACAAAAAAAGTGTCTCAGTATGAAGTGATCACAGGTGCAAGGAATGGCACTTGGTACATGGCCCAAAGAAGAACAAAAGTGGATATGTCATCCCTGGATCTTGTCTCATTAGGGAACTACTACTTAAAGCAAATCCTATAGTGCTCTTAGCTGTATATAAGAGGCAATAGCTCAAGAGATGTTTAGTAATACCCACCTGACACTGAGGGCAGTCACCATTCCCTGACTAGAGATGTCTTTGTCTACATGTGTGATACCTGCTACACCTTGGCTTGTGAGAGTAAGGAAATACTTACACTGGTCCTGGACAGTTTTTTGGCGGATCCATTCTTCCTCCACTGGTGACAAATTCCAGCACTTCCTGGTTGGTTTTACAAGGGTAGGGCATGTAGCCTAGAGAGAAAATCTCCCAAAGCAGCACACCAAAGGACCTGTGTCAGAAACCAACCAACAATACCGATTAGGTTTCATTGGTGCTCCACAAACCTAACATGAAGCTGTGTAGGTAACACCACAGCAACAACCTTTCAAAGGTGCTGTCCAACCACAGTAATGTGCAATTAGTGTGATTATGAGTCAACTTTTACAAAAAAAAACCCAATCAAAACCTTTGCTCAAGCTCCAAGACTGTGAGGGTATAAAATCCCAGGCTTTCCTTTGTTTGAGGTCCCTCTTTGGAGGCACCAGCTGGAGCTGTTATTTTGGTTTTGCACCATAATTAAATTATTTTAGGGATACAGACATCTGAGACTCTGCTATGGGAAACCTGGGGCTGAGTTGGTGAGGAAACCTGGTCTAACTGTGTGAGTGTGGTGTGTGTAGCTGCCAAGGGGCCTTTTTGGAGCTTAGGTGGTGTGACTGTGACTGCCAGCATGGCTCCTGGATGGTCGGACAGGAAAATTTCCTTGACAATTGAATGAGTGTTTGGGAACAAGATGCTCAAGAATAAAAGAGACATCCAATGAAACTGAAAGGTAGCAGCATTTTTTTTTTGTTCTGATTAGGTTGTTCTCCTTTTTTACCTCCACGGGTTAGATAGGCACTGCCACTGGAAATTATGTATGACCAGAAACAGGGAAGTCAAGAGGATTCTGCCAGAACTTCAGCAGGGTCAGAATTTTAAGAGTCACTATTTGTTGCAAAGGTCAAAGTAATTTCCAGTACATGCATGTTACTTATAATAGCCTATTACAGGAACTGTGGCACTTTCCTTCAAAATACTTAGTACTGGCTGTGCACAGTTAGGCACTGATAAGCAATCCTGTGTCTTCCGGCATCACTAACTTCAGGAAACTGGGTCAGTGTGGCATTTAAGGGAATGTCTCAGTACAGTATATTGAAGAATCTACTGTATAGAGAAAGAGGCATTCTTAAGCAACTGGAAAGCTTCCATTATCCAGCAATGTGCATGAATATACAAAAGAGTAATACTGGGTAGTACAGAGAGTCACTTAAGAGGTATTTAAGCAGGCCTTGTCACTGAAGGAAACTGAGCAGCAAATACTGAGGCCTGAGGAAAATGTCTGATGGTATTTCTCTGGATTTTTAACTGAGACTTCTAGAGAATCTAATCTGCTTTCACTTCTCACTTCTTGATTGGCTTCATATGATACTCTATATTTATGCACGGGAAGTTTTTGTTACCTTCATTTACATTAGACTTCTTAATTCTTTTTAATTCTTTAGCCATACTTCTACTGAATGCAGTGGGAAGACTTCTCATATTTTTCTAGGAAATTCTGACTTTTTTTAAGGTTCCTGCTGAACAGACAATTTTTTTCTTGAGCAGTACCTTTCTTGGTGCTGATCAGTGAGTAGTAGAAGTGATTAAAAGACATTTATTACCAGGTATCAGTCTTGGAGGTGAAAATACCCTCTAGAAAAGCTTCTGGTGGCATCCACTTTACAGGAAGCATAGCTCTTCCTCCCTTGCGGTAGTAACTTGCTCTGGGGAATATAAAATGCACAGAGAATGTCACACGGCATGAAAGGGCTTCGATATATAAAAGATCTTATCACCGCAGTAACTCAGCTGGGGAGTGCCTATGGCAATGGGGGCCAAGCGAGAAAGAGGAAAGAAGTCATCAACACAAATAGTGCATTGGAGCAGTATTTTATATCCTCTTTGCAACTGAGATGGAAACTGAGGATGTTTAGGTGCACAGCTGAAGACATCAAACTTGGCAGGGTGTTGATGCAGCCAGTCTTCTTGACATAATAAACTGAGAATTATGGTTGTTGTGCGGTATTTTAATTTAAGATTATTTATGATCAACTAGCTAATAAATTTGTCTATGCTTGGTTTAGTGTCCACATATGTTTGCATTTTCCTGGGGCCACAGTTGAAGTGGATCGGCTTGTAAGCATGGATGTGGTAATTTACAGCCTGTTAACACCAGTTAGTTAACTGGTCATCAAAGTCAGACATATAATGGATGGTTCCACTGCTTTACCAGAAAACAGTTCAAATTGGTCAAAATGATAGAAATTACAGAGATACAGGACTCAAATTGCCTTCCACTTACCTGTAAATATCCCTGGCCATCCCGAAGTCACCAATTTTGGCTATTCGTCCTGCTCCAGTACAGGTCAAAAGGCAATTCCTTGCAGCTATATCTCTTAAAAAAAAAAAAAAATCTTATTCAAAACTCTTAAACAGCTAAAGGAATAAAGAAAGAACATTAGACCTTGTCCTGCAAGTCTCAGTTGAGTCATCTTTACACAAATGAGAAGAGCCTTGTTAAAAAAAAAGAAATAATTCCAGCTACATTATAATTTTTATTAACCACAATTCTTAAACTGCATTTGCATTATATTTTCTACCCAGTGTTTTCCAAACACTCCTTACTCCCATCTTCTTTCACTAAGGCAGAAAACAGCATGAGTGTTAGAAGAGGGAAGATATCTCCCATGAAATCAAGCAAAACTCCATATGGGAGCAGTTACTTGATGAGTGCAGGTTTAGCTTGAGAGAAATGGCAGTGATGCCTTCCTGGCCACAGCTGAAGGATTTGTGTTCATTTAAAATATGCATTCTGAAAAAAAACTAATTAAAAATCATAGCACTATGGGGGTCCTGTTGACTGCCAAGAAAAATGAGCTCCTTGAACAACTCATATGTTTCTTCCCATTGCCAGCCTTGAAAAATCCTTCAGGATTTGGAAGTCAGGCTCAATTTTCTCTTCCATTATCAGCTGTGACTCCTAGATGACAATACTTGTCTTTAGTGATCTCTCTGCAACCCTACTACATTACTTTTCACCCCTAGGATACCTGATATCTATAATGGTATCCTTCACTTCCCAACCCACTCTAAGGAATACTGACACCACTAAAAATACTAATACAGAACTGGAATGAAATTCCTTCTATACTGATTTCCTGAACTGTTGGCAAAACAAAATTAATCCATTCCCAGGTTGCTTATGTTAGAGATTTAATAGCTCAGAAACTGACCCAAATGTTTGTTTGTTTGTTTTTTTAAAGTGATATGATGCTGTTAAAAGGATATTACTATTACTGTAAGAATTTTTAAAAAATAATGCCATAGCAATTAACTCAGAAGTTTCCAATTAAAATACTGATCCTCTCTTGTAATTATTAAGAGATCCAAGACCCAAAACTTGTTGCACATTCTTACTGCTCTTTTTTAGTAACAGAAAACTCTAACACTTTTTCACACGAACTACTTTATTGTTCCAATGTAAAGTAGCCTGAAAACTGTTTCATGTGATCTAATAATGAAGCCATAACATATTACCATACCTCAGCCTCATGGCCTTTTGCTCTGATTGCTGCTTGCCAGTTGTTTCCCTAAGTTTCTCCAGTCTCTACCCACTCTAGCCTATTTCTGTCTCTTTGCTGTGTTCGATGTCATGCATATGTACACGTGTTTGTGCATGTGAGTGAATCAGTTCTCGACTCACAGATCTCTAGGCTGTATGTCAGTTTAGTTAAAGCCTGTGTGACCCTCTTGTGCAGGTCTCTCCTCTGCTTTACATATAAGGACTGAACTCAGCATGCAGTTCATAGTAAGGAATTCAGTTGTATGCTATGCCTGGGAACATTATGAGCTGAAACAGTTCATAGTCTGAAGCAAAGGAGTCCAGTGTCCAGCTGGGAGTTAAGGATACCTAAAATAACTTTTACCTCTTCTATAATATTTTATTCTTATTTGGAGCCTGCCATATCAACAGGTTTTTGCTCTACAAAAGAGGGAATAAAAAGTGTGAACAGACAAATATGGGCTTCCCAAGACCACACAGCAGGTCAGGCACTGAGCTGGGAAGGAAGCCTGAGCTGTGTTTTTATCTCCTATTATCCCTGTTCTACTCTTCCCTAGTCATTGCCTCAAACGTGATGGGCTGTTCTGTCCTGGTGGGATAGGGAAAGCATTTAAGTCAAGTTAGGGAGATCAAACAGCCAACACAGAGTGACACTACCATCTAGTGGACTACAGGGCTCATCTCGAATGTCTTTACATTGCAGGCACCTGAAAATTAACACTTAAAGCTGCTCACTTTGAACGGAAGGTTCCTTTCTCCCCAGCAGTGCAAAGAACGGTGGAGAACCTAACTCCTAACAAAAACCAGTGAGGCCCTCCTGGACATCTGGGCACAAGCCTGTGTTGGTAGGGGAAATATCTTTCTCCCCCCTGGAGATTAGTCCTGTCTAATCCACTGCAAATTAAATCTGTATGAGTCTCATGCACCTTGAGATACATCAAAAGGGACTGTTTCTCCTCACCTGTGGATGAAATGATTCTCTTCCAGATATTTACAGCCGCAGGCAATATCCCTAGCTATGTTCAGCAGGTCCTGCATTGTTAGCATGGATGGCCGATTCTGGAAAAAGACACAAAAAAAATAGTAAGGGCAGAATAGTGGAGCAGAAGAATATAGTTCAGCCAGGGGATAAACAGAGAGGGGTAGAAGAAGGGGAAGGGAGAAACATACATTCAGGATGGTGGAAGGGTTAAATGAGTTGAGCAAAGAGGAACATAAGCAGATAAAAGCAGAGTGTTAGAAAATGAGTAAACTCTTAGTTAAGACTTTCAGAAAATTTCCCCTCTCTTGAGCACGGCACATGAGTGCAAGCTGGTGAGAGATATACGGCCTGGCCTGTATAGCCTAGTAAAGGGTAAATCAAAAGACAAACAGGTTCAAAAGGTAAGATGGAAGAGAAAAAAATCCACTCACTTATAAAGAGTGAGTCAATAAACTATCAACAGAAATTAGCACAAGAACTCAGAGAGAGAGCAAAGATGCTCGAGCACACATCTCTGCACCAACAGTCAGCATTCATCAACATATCTGTTCTTGCAGAACAGCAATTACCCTCAGGAGCAGCATGCAAAAAAGGGATGCTTTACCACAGGACTCCAGGACTGGTACTAACCCTTCACCATCTGCACTTCCCTAACTAAGAATAATAAACAAATGTTTCTCCAGGAGCCCTGCTTATTTTCACCCCATCATTCATTTATCCATAGGGAAATTTTCTCTGTTTTTCTAGGAATTTCTTTATTGCTCTCAGGAAGGGTGGGGAGGAATTTTTACACAGATGATCAGAAATCAGAGATATATCAAATAAATTAGGCTCAGCTCTTCAACTAGTATAAATTTGTTCATCTCCATAGGATGCTGATGCACACCTGCTGAGGACCTAGTGCTATGAATTCCCATTATTACGTATAGTGTTATGACTTCAGTTCCTCATGTACCATCACAGTACACAGAAAACAGGCAGACATTGAAGAAAGCAAGCCCCTTAATTTGTAGACCAGTTGACAGAGAATTCTGGAATGGCAGGACAGGATTTTACTCTTTCCTCCTCAGTTACTTATAGCCTGCAGTTCTGGCCTTGCTTTCATTTTGTCTCGCTGACACCTTCTTACTTCAAGCAAACAGATATAGGTATCCAGAAATCTGTAGGAGCTGGGATACACACACAGCCTAGCTTGACTTCAGTGCCTTTATCCAACTCATAAAAACATAAAACAAGTCATACTAAAGTGAACCAGAAGCCCAGCAGGGAAGTTATCTCACCATCCTGGGTCTATTCTGCCGAAGAAAGCTCTTCATATCTCCTCCAGCCATGAGCTCAAGCAGGATGAAGCGAGGCAGCGTCTGTAGGCTGACACCAATGCATTGCACGATGTTCTGGTGATTGAACTTACTGAAAGCCAACGGTAGAGCAACATGGAAGAGAAAGATAGCATTAGTACCTGGCCATCATCCATCACACTCTCACTGTGCCTTGATCTTTGACAACCAGTATTGAAGCAAATCCTGATATGGTACAAGTTACCAAGCAAACTTCAGCCATATCAAAATACCTCTCTGCTTATGACAGTCCCAAGACCAGGGCTGTGCCTGGTTTTGCCCATAGAAAGCCTTAAACAGAAGGTATGAATAGCTAAAAGCAAAGCAGAGCCTTCTGTCTGTGAAGATAGAGTTTAATGGACTCACTGACTGAAAGAGGAGAGTGACATCAGAGGGATAGGAAAGTTAAGCACGCAAATTTTATTGGCATTTGTGAAAAAAAGTCTTGACTGATAGAGATTTTAATTCAGCATAGTGCCATCTAGCTTGGTGGACTCAGTTCTCTATTTAGTCTGCCAAAGGATTGAGTTCATACCTACTGCAGCAGCTGCTTATGTGATGGCTTTCTGCTCTTTACAAAAGAAAGCTGAAGTTGTCAAAAAGCTCAATAAGATTCAGTTATTAGACAGCAACATCTTCCCTTAGATAATGATTACCTGGATAATACAGGAACTAAAAATAGAAAGGAAACTGGGGAAGAGAAAGAGTTGTGTGCTACTAAGTGAATCAAGGCACTGTGTAATTGATTAAAATTGCTTTTTAAAAAAACATACATCAATGTTACTTCCTGTTCAGCTGCCAAAGTTCTTGCAGACTGTAGGAAGTGGCACTATATCATGAGATTCATGCTTTAATGGTAGAAAACAAGCATCTACATATGAGCTGGGCCAGACAATGACAAGAGGAACTTCATGTTGCACAAATTCAAAATGTATAAATTCCGATGACTTACAATGAACCCTGACTATACTACTATTTTAAAGCCACTCTTGACTATACTGTTGTTTTAAGTTATGTATTTGTGTTAATGTAAATTCCAAAACTGGAACACTTAAAGTGCAGGTGGTAGTAGGAATGGCTGTCTATTATCTTTTCCAGGCAGGTTTTATAGATCTTACAGTTCACTGTCAGAAGGTCATGCAGATGGGACCTTATAAAAGGTTCTGTTAAGCTTGCAAAGGTATCAAAAGCCAGAACACATCTAATAAAAGTGGATGCACTGAGAGAAGGACCTTGTTCCACCTGTGCAAGCTACACAGACAGAGCCATATTCACTACCTTATCCCTGCAGAGGTTTCAGAATATATCACTCAGCTATTATTCTGTAAAGAAAGGGTAAAAGCCTTCACTGCAAAAAGTGCTTTCTTATGGCAAACAGTTCTGCAGATAGGAACAGCAAAAAAGCTGCTCATAAACTTAGCTACTGACTGAAAACCACAATGGGAAAAGCTTTTCACAGTTTCTCCTTCAGCTGCCAAATCTGCTCCTATAAAAACTCTTAACTTTATTTGCAAGAGATAATATAGCTTAAGCCCTAGCACCTCAGCCTAAAAAACGTAACTCCCTGGCACACAGCCAGTACTGGTACTGGTCTTGCAGAGGCTGAACATCTCAGTGACTGCACAGGTGGCTCTAATCTTTATCTTTCCTATTGCTTTCCAATTCATCATTGAAAATTTGCTTACCAAGGGCTTTGGGACATGAATTATATTTATTAAGACAGTAATAGGATTCTTTGAAAAGAGAAATATTTCAAATGCAGAACATATTTGTAAAAAATGTTGTGCCTTCTTACTCCTCTGAACAAGACCAACCAACAGAAATTTTGTTAAATTGTTGTAATGTTTTTTAGGTGAGATAGAGTTACTTTTCTTCACAGTAGCTCATGTGGTGCTATTTTGGATTTGTGATCAAAACAGTGTTGATAACACATTGGTATTTTAGCTACTGTTGAGCAGTACTTACACAGCGTTAAGGTTTTTCACACACACACCTCCCTCTCCCTCAGTGAAAAGACTGGAGGGGAACAAGAAGTTGTGAGGGGACACAACCATTACAGCTGGCCCCAAGTGGCCAAAGGGATATCCCACACCATATGGCAACATGCTCAGCAATGAAAGCTGGGGAAAGGAGGAGGAAGGAGGGGAAGGGTCATTCGAAGTTTGGCATTTTTCTTCCCAAGTAGCTTTTACACATGATGGAACCCCATTTTCCTGGAGATGCCTGAACACCTGCCTGCCCATGGGAAGTACTGAATGACTTTAAAATTGCTTGCCTTGCACACACAGATTTTGCTTTATGTATTAAACTGTTTTTATCTCAACAATGAGCTTTTTTTCCCTTCTGATTCTCTTCTCCATCCCACTGCTGTGTGGGGCCAAGCTGCCTGCTGGCATTAAACCACAAGAGATGGGCAACAAAAGAGCCTGAGTTATCTTGTTTGAGATAAACAAGTAGCTGAAACCAGTAATTTGTATGCTACTAAAATGCCATCTGGTGAAAAATAAGACTGGATTTAATTTCTGAACAAAGCAAGTGGATAAATGATTCTATGATGACCTGTATTACTCTTTTTCCCCCTGCCCACCATCAGTAGAAAAACCTTAAACTATACCTGATAATCAATGCTTCCATCAGGAAATCCATCTCATCCTGCTCAGAGCAGACTTCTGGCAGGGTCTGTTGAGAGGTAAAGATAACGAGGGCCATCCGACCAAAGAATTGAGAATATTTAGATGACCACCAAAGAAAAAAGGAAAAAAAAAGAAAATAATAAGCATGTAATATGAATCACTTCAGGAACCTACGAGGTGGGGCTCATCTTTTCACTACCAGGTTTATTGAAGTGCATTTGACCCATTTGGTAGTTAAAGTTGGAATAGGAAACTAGTGACCTACTTCAAGATTTTTTTGTGTGAATTTAGCTCTATACACACTTCTGAAGTAAAAATAGCTTCAGGTACACATCAAGAAAGACATTAGGTGGGGAATTACAGATCTAGAAAGCTCTTTTAAATTACAGGTGCTAATTAATTCTCCCTTTTCTATATGTGCACATTGCAGCACATATATGTCAAATTTGACACACATATGTGTCAAATGACACATACAACCATGTGATTTAAATATTTGTGTCATGTGCCCTTTTAGGTTTCTCTCCTGCCAGCAGATTTGGACAGCATCTTCCACTGACACAGGTGAACTGAGTGCACAGGCAGCAGTAGAAGCAGCACATGCTACTGTGCCCACTGTTTTAACCTTAGAGGGTAGTTTGGCCACAGCTGTGTGTAGTGCCCACGGCCACACTGCACGCAGAGAGGTGGGATGCTCAGCATGGTGTGTCTGGCATGGGAACAGCTCTTGTCATCAGTAGTGTGGGCTACAGGAGGCAGGGCTGTATTTTGCTGTCTGAAATAAGTGATTGATTTACACAGAACAGTGCAGATCATGTATTAAATTGGTGGAAGACCCACAAACAATATATGGATAACAAGTGGCCATTGACATCTTCTTCTGTTTGCCACTGTGCTCTGGTGCTTCCTGCAGTCTGGATGGTGGAACTGAGTTGGTCAGTTCCAACTGCTTGCTAGTGTCCTGGGTTTTCATCCACATTCATACAGTGGCACAGGGAAGTTTATAACAAAATGCCATAATGCACAATCCTTTCACTTTTTTTTTTAAGAGGGTTTGAAAGATGGGATGAATAACAGTAGAACTTCTTTTTATTAATGAAGGCTACATTTTTGAGCTGAATTCATAGAAGTAGATTTGGTTCTCTGAGTCACAGGCTTATAAAATAACAAAAGCAGGTTATGAGCATCCTTAACTTCAGGGCTGAGTAACTGACAAATCCTGAGGAAACCTCAGTAATTTCACAGAAAAACAGCCTGTTATCTCTTGTCATTAATAATGTGGAAATTAGCATAGTATCACAGTATATATTCACAACTGCATATTTAACACTATGCAATAACAAGGGACTACTAGAAAGTTTCACATAGAGCAGAAAAACACTAGTCTCAGTGTAAAGGAAAGTAACTGAGAAAACCCACAAATTTTTAAATAGGATAACATCATGTGAAAAACTTAGGAGAAAGCACTCAAACCCACTGAAATGCAGAAGCAATAATATATAGGCATTACTGTAAATGTTTACTGTTTGCTATCATATAAATGATTCATACTAATATTTTCCAGTGCTCTCTTTTCTTTGTACAATATTTGAAAATCCCTTTCTAGTCCTCAATGTCCCAAAATGTCTATTTGTTACTATTTTTGTTCCCTTTAAGTTTCTTTCTTTCTTGGCTACTCACATCTATAATTCATTGAGGCAGAAAAGTCATTGTGGCAGATTCACTGCTAGGATGAACTGACAGTTCTGTGTTGATATATTGAGGTGTATTTATTAATGCTAATAGATAATTAATTGTTTTATTTTAACTAATCATAATATGCAGTCTCTAGGTGACTAATTCACACAACTTCTAATCTGAGGGCACTGATTCTACATCTACTGAGCAACAGGAATGGAGCTTACAAAACAGATTGCCCTTTTTAGATTCCCTTTGTACTTAGATCACACCTTACAGCCATTAGGCATATAGCAAAAAGACAGATGGCTTTACTTGCTAGCTGGTTCTAGTGCCATACAACTTAAAAATTAAAGTTGATAATTCCTGGATGCAGCAAAGCGTGGAAATCTGCATTACACCTATACATATGTCGTTATGCATGTGATGAACGTGAATCTCCAACTGGAATAGTAATAAGATAATATGGCTCTTATGGGTCATTACTGCTGTATAAGAAATTTGGGGGTACTGACCTTGATAGCAACTTGAAGAGGGTTGGGATCCCCTCCAATGCCTACCACAGTTCCCTCATAAACCTCACCAAATGCACCATGTCCTAGTGCCCTGTAAGAAAAGGAGAGAGAACAGATATTATATACCCTTAGATCCAACGCTGGCCGAGCTCTTCTCTTCATCCAGTCCAAGACTAGGAATAGAATCTGCTGTAAGACATGAAATCAACAACAGGGATTTGTTTTCCTCTCAAAGATTCTGAAAATAACTTATCAGTATTTTCTGTCACTAAAACAGTGCAGTTGGATCCTTGATGGTTCTGAACAAATAAAGCAGCCTGCTCAATCCTAGGCCCTATCACCAAGTATGGCAATAGAGGAAAATGGAGAATGACAGAATAAGGTGGCTGCAGACTGATATCTTCAGGAGAGGGTGTAAGACAGCAGATAAGACTAATCAATTTTTTCCTTCCAAAGTTTATAACTTTGATCAATATCATCTGGATGGTATGGAGTTGAAGGGCAGCCTAGCATGTATTTCCTTGTGACAGGAAATTTCCTTGTGGTAGGAAACTCGTGAAAAAGAAACAGTGCTATAGATTTGGAAGGGATTTACTCCCAGGAGGCGAGTGCAATCCAGGACATCATATAAAAACACAAAGGTGAAATACTATATGCTGTGCATGGGAACATGGAACAGGAGACTCATGATTTTATACTTCTGCTTGAGAACTTCATGGAATCAAAATATCATAGAGAACATAACAAGTATGATATCTATTGTATTTTGGCTGACTTGGACTAAGTGTTTTGCAGTTAGTCAGACAGGTGACCCTTGTTTTCTTACCGAAGCAGAGAGATGTTCTTCCGCGGGATCTCCTTCAGCTCGCTTAGAGTGGCAGCCTTCCCTGCGAAGCAGTAGTTGGGGTTGTAATCCGTCATGATGGCAGATGTACGGATTTTGCTCAGTTTATATTCTGGGCTCTGCAGTCGTGCTCTGGCTCCATCCAGCTGCTGTTTCTTAAGGTAATAAACTGCAGGTGAGGAGACAAATAAAAATGCATAAACAAGATCAATCCCTGGACAGAAAAGATAATGCTGGCCACATAGAACAGAAAGAAACAAACCCCATAATTATAAATACTCAAGAAGCATCTTTAGCTTGTCAATATCACTCTCTTCATGCTTTGTAGTGATTTAATACTGGATATGGAAACAGTCATTCCTGCAGGCACCTGGGAGCAACTTAGGTTTCCTATGCTTCTTTGTACTTTGGCTGAGGAAAGAGTGCTCTGTAAGATGTCTTGCTGACATTGAGTCCCAAAAATCAAACCATCTCCCTGAACGAATTATATGTTTAATTGCAGATTGTGACTTCATCCTGTATAGCACTGCCTGCTAAAGAAGCAGCTACTAAGAAGGCTTTCCAAGTTCTTTATTTTTTCTGAGGCAAACACCAGGGAAGAGCAGTCCTTACCCCTCGGGACTATGCTTGTGCCTAACTGCAGGGGGCGATGTTTTCTATCGCTTCTTTTTCCCTGTCCTCTGATCCACTTGGGGACGACAACACTTTGGCTCCAAGCATTAAAAGCAGTGGCATGTGGTTGAGTACTTAGTTTCCTTTTGTCTAATTTAACTGGGAAAAGCAAGTCAAAGGATAATAAGAAGGAAAGTGTTTCTTACTGATAGATAGGCTGCCACAAGTGAGGATCATTCCAAGCACCACAATCACAGACACCACAGCCAGGAGGAGGGGAAGAGACAGGTGTCCCTCTGGGATAGGACCCTGGGGCACTAGGAAAAAATAAAAAAAAATAAAAAGGTACATTAATCAGAAAGCAACCAGAGCTGCTGTAATGCATCCCTCTAAATGTTGCTTGCATTTCAGAAAACAATACAGAGGTCATGGCCAGACCATCCTATAAAAGTTACAGCAAATCCCTCTACAACGCTGGAAGTTGAAAATAAACCTAAATAGTTTTAAAATTATTGTGAAGGTAGAAAACTGATAAAACACATTTCTTATCCATTCTTCAGTTTTCTATAAATGAGTAACATCACTGTTCACAAGTTGAAACTCTCTACAGTCTTGATGCTTTGGAGCTCCAAGAGACTGTGTCAGAAAATAACAGTGAGTACAAGGCATCAGCTGACAGGCACAGTGGGAAACTGCTGTGGAAGGAGGCAATCTGTGGCTGAAAAAACTCAGTGGTAGATGGTATGTTATCCCAGACAGGTATTTACACTTAAATAGCTGATACACTAAGCCCATTTAGGAAATTTACATCATGTCTCTTTACAAATATTTTACATTCTACTTAATCCAAACCTGGAGATGGTGACAGAGATCCAGCTCAGCATGTAAGGAAAGGTCATAAGGAATTTTCAGTCATACACTTGACTGACATTTCTCACAACACCATGTCCACTGGGGCCAATAGCTGTAACTTTGGGAACTGAACATCCAAAAAGCCAGAAGGAGAGGCGATATAAAGAATACAGATGTTATCCAATGAAGCTAATATTTCACAACTTACCAGTGCAGGTGACATTGTCATTGGCTAGCACAGCCCCCATCTCACACTGGCAGACTGGCATGTTGGTGTCAGGGTCCCGCTTACAGTTGTCTGAGTGGCAGTGGCTGCAGTTAAGATAGATCTGAACCTCCACCTCACCGTGACTCTCCATGGCTGAACAAGGAATAAGACACAACAGGTGAGCTTAGTTCAGTTTTTCCTCTCTTGTTCCAGTAAGGCAAAAAAACCCCAACAAAACAAAACCCAGCAGGTATCTAAAACTTCTCTCCTTCTCTGCAGCAGATCTGATAGTCCAACACAGTGTGGACATGTCAGAAGTCTCATAGGGGCCAGTAGAGAAGAAGATACTGGGTTCCTTAAGCAAATAGAAGTGCCTTGAAGTTAATTAACCTGGAAAAGTTGAGGACTGAGGATGTACGGTTGAACCTGATGACTGGGTCTCTCCTGGTTTAGAGATTGAGGAGAAAAATGGTCCCAGAGCACTATGGAAATATTTAAAGAAATGACCACATCTAAAGATCTTACCTGCAGAATGAAATAAGCTTTAATGAAATTAACAAAAAGCAAAGACAGGAGAAGGAACAGGAAAGAGGAAATAGAGAGGAAGAAAAGAAAAGGAGGAAAGAAATAAGAGAATAAGAAATATATTGTACCTGCCAAGGGATGCAAGAAGATCTCTCCAATGGGGTTCACAAAAGAGATGCCATCCTGCCCACCAGCTGTGATATCATCCTTATCAGAGGCATGCCCTCCTGGGGAGAGAAGAGTATGGCTAGCTGATCAGTACCGCATGCTGCAAAAAATGTGATGTCTCGAAGTGTTGCATTCATTCCTGGCACTTATCACCTGGGGTCACTCTGCAATCTTCCACTAATATTAGTATGTGTAATACCATTGATGGATAAACACTCACTTGACCCAGCCAGTACCAAGGTTAATGAAGCGACTTTATCTAATTTAGGTTTCTCAGTTCAGCAAGGTAAAAATGTATTTGTTTTGAACAGAAAAAAAGAAATGGAACATGGATAACTTGGAAATGGATGAAGGGGTGATTCACCACACCTTCCAAATACTAAATCACATAGGAATACTTCTATAACCTTGATTTCCCCAGGTATAGGGAGATACTGGAGAGTAGGGTGGGTTTCATACTGTTCAGATTGAAGTATCTGTGAGTCACCTTCTGCAGCAGTGTCCCTCTGCAGTGAGTGCTAGCCCTTAACTGCAGGTGCTCTGAAGGGTACAAAATTAGATATCATGACTAATTCCTCCAGCAGACCTACCTCTGTACCCTCCGCCTCCTCCTCCAGAAGTACAGGCTCCTCCTCCCCCACCAAAACCACCAGAGGTGGCCCACTGGAGCTTGTCTAGTGCTTGGGGACAAGCTTGACCTCCCTCTCCACCTTCCAGAAGGGACTTCCCAGCCTGAGGAAGAAGACTGTCATCTTGCCAGCCACCACCTCCACCTTCAGACAGTGAGAAAATAAAACAAGAATAGGTAAGGGAAGCACATGCAGAGGAACTCTGTAGAAAGATAGAGATTAGCCCGTATTAATTCCTTAAGTATCTATTCAAGATAACATTTTCTTTAAATTTAAGAGAATATACAGACAAGCTCCTTGCTGCCATGGGTAATAACCAAGTGGAAATCTAATGCACAACCTGCAGTAAGTGCTGCATAAGCCAACACCTTAGCACCCATTTCTAGTGGCATTAAAGAAATAAGGAGCCCATCACTTCCCTTCAGGATAACTGGTTAGGGCTTTCAGCCATGTGAGATGCTGAATTTCCTACAGAAATAAAAATAAACTGGATTTCTTCATCTCATTCTAGTGTCCCCTCTGTGAGGCTATTGCAGCAGGAGATGGACAACCACTGAATTTATCTTAGGTATAGATTCTAGGCACAGCCAACAAAAGATTATAAATAAGCTTCCATTTCTGGTATAATTCCCGTAATATAATTCTTGTTGTTAGGGTATCCTGATTTCGGCCAGGACAGGGTTAATTTTTGCAATAGCCGGTAGGGGGCATGTCTAGGACCCAAAAGTAATTCTATACCACCGCATATCATTGCCGGCAGGGTGGGGGTGGGGGTGGGGTGGGGTGGGGAGGGGTGTGGTGGGGTGGTGGTGGAATAAGTCGAGTAAGCGTGGTGGAGACAGCAGTGGGGGAGCGCCAGTTCTGAGCTGGAGGGAGCGGTCAGGTAAAACTGGTTCCGAGCAATCACATGTGAATCATTTGCCTACCTCGTACACTTTGTTATTAATATTGTTGTTGTTACTGTTTAATTTCTTATCTCATTACTATTTCTAGTAATTTGTTCTTATCTCAAGCTGTGATTTTCACCTTTTGTGCCTCCAATTCTCTCCATCCCACTGCAGGGAGTAAGTGGCATGTGGTTTAGAGAGTCTCAGTGAGAGCACTAAATTGGGAAGTACCATTCCTAAACCACGAGATAGGGTTTCAGGGGAGTAACAGGGAAAAAGTCTTCTCTTCAAAGGCCATTGTTACAGTGTGAAGGAATGGGTTTCATCTCTCAAACATCATTGTCACTGGGTCAGTTCATAGAAGAGAAGAGTCCTCCTATGGAACAGCCTCTACTGGAGCACTCATCACCTTTCTTATGAATTCTCTTTTATCTGATGACACACCATATAAAAAACATCCCTTACAGACTACTCAGTATATTTGTAATAACTACTGCCACAGAAAAATTCCAGAAGATCAAAAGAGAAACCCTTCACTTCATGCCCACAGGACAATGTGTATATTCAGCCACCTAATTCAGACCTTGTGTGGTTTTGGCATCTCACCTGATGCCCCAGTCCTTCCGCTGACTCCAGGTACTGCAGTGCTGTTCTCAAATTGCTCCAGGGGTACATCATCCAGGGAGCTGTCTTGAGCCTTCAGGTAGGCTTTTCCTCCTCCTCCTGCTGCGATGAGCAAAGGTTCGAAAATCCCATCCTTCTGCTGGAAAACCCCCCATCAAACATCAGAAAAACTTCGCATCCCTTTGATAGGTGAACTCACATAAACTCATCAAAGAGCATGAAAGAATCCCAAAGAAGAGTGGACCAAGGCCAGGGCCATGCTACTGATTGCTTCACAGAATCATTAGGAAAATGTTTTACATCATGTTCCTGTATACAAAAGTAGCTGTTTAACTGAACACCAAGATTTTAGGATTCATTTGTTTTAGGACTGCTGCCTGTATTAAAGTGGGATCCCGGTGTAATTCCCAGATCTGAGCTGTTAAGAACTGAGAAACCAGTTCAACTAGCTTAGTGACAGTGACAAATATGATCAAGGATATGGAAAGAGATAAATAATTAAAAAGACAAAAAACAGAGACAGAAGGTGAGGGGAGGGATAGAGACAGGAGAGGGAGACTCCTTTTTCATCATCTTTCTTTAAAGAACTGGTTATCATATGACACGACTGATAGTGAGAGCTAGTTGCTCTGCTGGACACTACTCAGACAGGATGCAAAGAAGAAATACTTACTCTAAAGATGTAGGTTGCTCCTCCTCCACCCCCACCTCCTCCAGCCCACTCCCTCAGATCCTTTTTTTTTCTGTAATCTTCTTCAATGAGAGATGACTCCCCTAAGCAGATCTTCTGGGTTTCAGGATTGCTCTGAAAGGAGATGAGAGATGTACTCAAATATCAGCCAAGTCCAACTCATGAGAGTTGTCTGTATATTTCAGTATAATAACATATCAGACATATATAAAGCACTATGTAGGTTATCTTCGTGGAAAGTGAATTCTTCAGCAAGGACCGATAGCTGAGGGGTAGGTCTGTCTGTTACCTTGATTTTTAAACTCCCATTATACGTGCAAGTGAAAATATAGTAATAATGATAACTCATTATTGATGTCACATAATTCATATTTCACATACTTAGATTTTCTTATAACCAAAAACATTAAAATGTTTTGCATTATGGATTAATTCTCAGAATGTTCTTACTGCTATATTTTTTAGGTATTTCTCAAGGTTATAAACATATAAAGCACACAGAGGTGACCTGCACGTAGTTAAGAATGATCTACTGACATATCTTGGAAGAATAACTTGAAGACCCAGTTTGCTATTCCTGCATGGCACCAGTTTTACTTCCTGTATGCTCTCATTCATGTGGAATCATAGAACGGTTGAATGGGTAAGGTTGGAAGGGACCACTGGAGGTCATCTAGTCCAACCTCCTTGCTCAAGTAGACTTCCTCAGAACATATAATTCAGGATTCTTTCCAGACCACTTTTGAATATTTTCAGAGAAGAAGACTCCACAACCTCTCTGGGAAACCTGTTACAGTTCTCAGTCACCCTCACAGAAAAGAAGCTCTTTGTCATGTTCAGGTGGAACATCATATGTTCCAGTTTCTGCCGATTGCATCTCATCCCAAGATTGAGACTGAGATTGATTGACAATTGACAGAGGGAGAGCTCTTTCTCAATTCTGGTGGTGGTGCTTCATGGCCTTTCTTAATTGGTGGAGCAATTCAAATAAGAGAACGAAAGATGATGAGGTTAGATGAGAGGAGGGAAAAGCAACTGGGGAAATCTGAGGAGAGAGAATCAAGGTTTGGAGCTGCAGAACTTCTTCAGAGAAAGGAAAACAAACATTAGTTACCCAATATACAGATTCACTAGCATTTCCAAAGTCAAAGGAAGTTAGGCTCTGGAAGTGGGAAAAATAAACTGAAACTTTTTCCAGTAGTGGATATATTAGATAGATACAATTATTGTACTCTATAAAGTAAAGAAAAGGTGGGTTTAGAATCTGTTGCAGCATCTGGGTAAGGCATCATATGCTCTGGGCAAGGTAAACAGTAATTTTGAATGCCTACAAGAATAGTTTATGCACCTCAAAACACCTCAGTCTGTGGGAAAAGGAGAAAATGGGTTTGTTCCTGGGCAGGGGTTAACTGATCACATTTCTAGAAAAAGGCAATATCAAAGAATTCATGCTGAAAAGAGGCATTTTTTGAGCCTATGTGATAAAAGGATTTTCAATTCATTTGGTCTAGCATTAGAAGACACATATATAAGTATACATGCCCACTTCTCATAAGTGTTTTTTTGTTATTACAAATACCTAATCCAGGGGGCACTGTAGTTAGTGGAAACATTCTCACTGATTTTGATAGCCTTTGAATTCAGACCTTAGTTTCTAAGCCTAGAGAGTATTTAATACAGTGCAGCCACAACACTGCTGATTGCTTCCACAAATAATAATAAATTGTCTGAAATCCTGGCACACAGAAAGAAATCTAGGCTGTGGAAAAACAATAGAGGGAGCACACCGCTTTCACCTACTAGCTTTCTGCTTAAAATAAGCACAAGAAAGCTGATGAGGAACTTATTTCAAAGACCAGGAACTTAGAGCAAAGTTCCTGCAGGCTTCAGGTTTATTTGTGGATTTTGGGATTGCTTTTCTTTTCAGAGTTCTTTATATTTTTGAGATTCTTTCTAACTTGCTTTATTGGTTCTCTCCAGTCTCTCAACTGGATTTCATTGATGGATTCTGGGATTTCTATCTTTTATCACCAAACCCCAAGCCACCCACTGAATCAAATCTGCAAGGTCTCTGCCCACACATGCTTGGTGGCCCTCACCCCAGGGCAGGCATCCTCTCCCTGCTGCCCCACTAAGATGTACAGCAGTTCATCTTTCTCCAGGTGGAAGGTGGCTGAGATGAAGACCCCGTGGGACCTCTTATTGTGGTTTTTGGCTCCCTTGCCTCCGGCTGCTCCATAGGCAGAAATCCTGCAAGAAAAAGTAAGTAGTTCAAGAAACAACTCTCACTCTTCTCATCCCCAAAGTAACTCCATCTGTAAGGTCTCCCCAGCCTTCATTTCCAAATAGACATTGCTCCAGAGCAGGCTCCCCTCCTGTAACAGCTCATGGCTATTCTTTGTCTGAGACCCAGGTAGACCCAGACTAACCCTACACTTGAGTACTGGAAGCAGAGACTTCAGGAGCAAATAGCATGAGCTGGTTACAGCCCAATCTAAGAGTCAAAGACTTCTGGACTAAAATGATGGCAGCGCTTCCACTTGGCTGCATGCCCATTCTCACTCCTGTTCTGACCTCTTCTAAGTCACCACTCCACTCTTCCATGCTTCATAGCAGCTCAGAACACAGATCCTTATAGCTACCACTCCTATTTCTTTGTTCCCACTCAGTACAGATGGTCCCACACTTATGGTTGCTGAAACTCCATGCACAAAACGTGGTTAAATGTGGCTGCCTCTCCAGAACACACTGATATTCACCTGTATCGGTTTGTGGCTGGCACTCTCCAGACTTGCACTCCCCGGAGCCTGCCCTCCTTCTCCACAGTCACTGTCACACTGCTGTTCTTATAGGTACTGTCACACTGAGCTTGAGTTGGCCCATGTGGACCACTGGCACCACATGTTGAGAACCACCAGAGAACAACAGTTGTGTCTCCTGTGACCAAAACAGCAAGAGTTGGGGCAGATGTGAGCTTCCCTGTATTTCTCAGATACACAATCATAGAATTGCTTAGGTTGGGAAAGACTTCTAAGATCATTGAGTCCAGCTGTTAACCCAACACTGCCAAGTCTACCACTAAACCATGTCCCCAAGTGCCACATCTACACTACTTTTAAATACCTCCAGTAATGGAGGCCACCTGGGCACACTGCTGGCTCATGCTCAGCCAGCTGTTAACCAACATCCCCAGGGCCTTTTCCACTGGACAGCTTTCCAGCCACATGTGCAGTAACTCATAGAACTGCATAACCAAAGGATAAGTGCAATTGAAACAAACAACTGTTTCTTGTTGATATCTTTCTTTAATGATCCTTTGATAACAAAAATTCACATTATTATTACTATTATTCACATAGAACATTAACCATTTCTGTATAAAAAAATAGATGATCAAAGGAAAGATCATGTTGCAACAATATTTGCTATCTACAGGGTTTAAAAACTCAGTATATCTATTTGATCACATTCTTATAATTATTATTATTATCATACAAAAAATGCTTAAACTTGCATTTTCAGTGTGAAGGTTTGCAAGTTAGTATGTACTAAAGTTGCATTTATCTATTCAACTTAATGCAGCTCCCTCATGATACAATGCACTAAAATTTCACTCTTAACTATAAGATCACAGAGTACTTATCCTCACTTCGTTCTAGTCATAGGACAACTACTGCTCTGTGTATAGTCACTGTTTGCTTTTTCTCCATCTCACCTTATGTCCTGCACAGTATTTAATAAATCATGGACTGGGGATAAACCCCATCAATTTTTTTATTTTTTGGGAGAGGCAGGGGGGAGGTGAGAAGGGGAGAGGGACAGGACTTCTGTGAAGGGGTTTATCCAAGTGTCTTGGAAATTTCTCTTCTCAGTGCCAGTATGAAACAAGGAGATATTAGGCTTTCCAGATGAGAACTAAAGCATGTACACAGAAACAAGGGTTGAAAACATCTGCCATTATGACTAGTGACCATCTGTGCAACATGGTGAAAGTTTTAAGTGACTCGTCTCAGGCTTGCACAAGAAGCCCATGGCAGCAGCAATAGCCTCTTGTTATTTTCAGTAGGGGCCCTTCTCCTCCAAGCAATTTTTCCCATTAAGCATTGTTCTTTTGTTTCTACAATAGTGCAGGAGATAACTATCTCCTGCATTTCACAACCCTTGTCCAAGACCCAAACATGTCCACCTTGTCCAGTACATGAGGCCTAAGAATAAAACTTTTCAATAACGTATCTAAAATTGTGTGATGCAGCACGTGCACCAAAGCCAGAGTCAAAAGTAGAACTGTCAAAGAGCTGAATGATTAAAATAGAGGTAAAAATCACAAATCTTTAAAAGAAAATTCAAATCTTGTTTAAAGGGAAAGACAAACAAAACTATTACCAACAGATGTCGTCCTGTGAACATGTGGATGGATCAGTGTGGTACAAATGTTAGCTACATTACAGAAATGTCTGTCCCTTGAGCTAAAGGGAACTGACAGCAGTACAGATTGTCACATTCCAGGAGGACACAGCCTTCAGAAGCTGGTACAGTCACACACTTGCCAGCTGCAAAACATCCTCAAGGACAACCTCTCTCCCTCAGCCCTTCCTTTGGACCACTCTTCTCACCCAGACAGTTGTTATCTGTCCTCCAGAGTGGTAATCTTTGCTACTATCAGTAAACTAGTCCCCAGTGTCCCCTGTTCTCCTAGTTTTTCATCCAATTTTTCTATTGAATCAGTTTCCCGATCCTTACTTATTTGGCCTCCCTGGATTTTCATCTTTACACCGCTATTCTGTACTCACTTTGTTCAGCTTCACTGCTCTCCAAATCCAAGTAAATCTCTATTCCCAGCTTTCTGTACTAGTCTACACCTTTTATTCCTGAGCTGCCTTTCACGCACTCTGAATTTGAGTCATACAGCTTCTGCTTTTACTTAAAGAGATTCTGCTTTTCTTTAAAGAAAACCTGCTATTTAAAGACTGGTGAGTTGGGCTCCAGCAAACTGCTTCCCCATAGTGAAACAGAGACTACCTGACATGGTCTCCACATCTTTGGCATGGATGTAGTTGCCCTATTGCTACAGGGCAGGCAGATCACACACAGGAGATAGGAAGGGAACCATCTTTTATAACCAAGAGACAGGTTTTCACTACTGAATCATGTACCTGAGAGGGAGGGCTCTTCCAGAGGTTTCAGAAGACGCTCATCCATACTAATCTCATGTGGGTACTGGCGTTTCCCACCAAAATTATTTGGTTGTCTTCCTGTAATAGTTTGTAGAATAGAGGAGAGAGATGGGAGGATGGTAGAAAAGAGGGACGGAAAATTTCAAGATCATATGAATGAATTAAGTACAACTATTTGGTTAAATTAAGTAAGTATTACCTCAGGCAGAAAAAGTATCTTAGACAATCATAATTTTGTATTAGTCTTTTAAGCCCATGCCTTGAGTTAGCTACTTGTATATGTGCTGAAGTCAGTGGGTCTTCACATGAACACAGGCCTTCCATGTTATCCCATGCAGGATAAACTCCTCAGCCAGCAAATTACACTAGCGGGGATTACAACAGACTTTAGGAAAAATATAGTGTTGGAGAACAGATACCAGGTGTTGATGCTCTGACAGGGGACAATTCTGGACAGTGAAATCAGTGGAGATGTAAAGGAGAGTAACAGCAAAAATCATTATCTTTGGTTCTGAGTAGTGTGATGGCAAGTAAACCAGCCTAACAGGTCACTCCCCTCTCAGCAACCAACTCTGAGCACCTGAGACCTTGCTTAGAGAATAAAATACTAAATAAAATTACATGTCACACTAACACAGACAATTAAGAAATAGCAGCATACCCTTGACACAAGACGTAGATGTTTGGACAAACCCTTTTGAAAACCACAGGGCAAAACTCCACATTTCTGACCAGTGAAATAGGCCTTTAAAAATCAACCCTTTCTCAGAGAGAAGGGATTTCAAATCAATTGCTGATCCAAAACATTTGAATGCATTGAGAATACCACACAACCAGTGCTACCTTACAACAGGAAAAAGTAATAGCTGAACCCTTGCCTTATAATCTGTAAGCATCCCATTTCAATAGTTAAATTACCCATTTTAATGCAGATTTTTTGATTGGAAAATCTCAATAAGAAGAAGGACAGACTTCCTTCCATTTTATGAACCCTCAGTTAATTTAATACTGAACATTTTTGATCAGTTGAAAAACATTACAAATATTTCAATTTGTTCCAGTTGTGAGAATTAACAACTGTTTGATGCTTTATCCAAAAGAGACTCACTCAGTTCCAGATGGACAATTATCTCTGCCACAAAGCCACTGCTCTAAATAGCAATAATTAACACCTTTGTTAGCTGTGTCAGAAAGGCCAAATAACTAATTGAAGCGTGGCGACCTTGCTGAGCTTTTACTCCTGAGAATATTCCCCCCAGGTCTGGCTGAAAGCACATTGATGGATGGAAGTAAAAGAAAGCTTTGTACTGACACGCTCTGTTCATACTGAGATAGAGAACTTCAATGGATGAAATTGTCAAGCCAGTAAAAAATGAAATTAACCAAAACCAAATGAAATTAATTGAATATAAGAAGGAAAACAGAATGAAAAATACAATGAAGGACCAGGAAAGATGCTCCCAAGGCCTGCACTGAATTACGAATCCCAAAGGTCACAACAGTTTCAGATATTTAGTGATGTACAAGAAGTCTGGTTATGTTTGCCAGAGCAAAGGAATGTGAATGACTCTCTAAAACAGAGTTGATCTGTGTGTCTGCAGCGATTTTTTTCAGCATTGCAACTGAGTATCCTAAGGCACAGCCTCATTTCCAAACAAACAATCTTTCCTCCTTCTCCAAACAGTCTCAATCCCTCACTCTCCAGAAGAAAGTTTCTGTCTCCTCTGTGCTCAGCAGCACACAAACTGCAAGACAGGCTGAGCATTGCCCTGTCCACATGAGCTGCTAACTCTTAGAAGGCTGATATTTTATGCACTGTCTGGTATGAACTTGTAAGGTGACTTTTTCTACAAACATGGTGTAGTCCTGGGATCCAGGGGCTGCTGCTTCTGTCTATTTTAGCTTCCACTTCCTCTTCTAGCAGCCAACATGTTGGCTGTAAGTGAATGAAACAAGAATTAATTCCTATTAGGTGTATCTATATCAGAAAAATATGAAGAGCATGGAACTCCTTTCTCCAGTTTTTAGCTAATGTGGTTGATTTCCCCATTGAAAAGGGACAGAGAAAAGTGCAAAGGAGAAAGACAAGGCATCTCCTGCAGCCAGAGAGATAAAGTACTTCACTCCTCTGTCTGTGGGACTGTAATGGAACAGAGGTCCTGTGGCTGAGATTAATATGAGTAAGACGCCTCACAGAATCCTCAAGGTGTGAATGGTCTCCTCAGAGATCCCACCTTACTAATGCAGGCTGTAGTATTCCTGGAAACCTCTCCAGCTTGTTCTGGAGTGTGACAGAGAATGAGGAAGCTGCACCAGCTTCTTCCTTCCCAATCCTTTTGGCTGATCTATTGCATTTCTAGTCAACACCTTCTTAAATCTGTGAAAGGAGGCAGTAATGAGTCTTGAACCATTCCCCACCATTCACCTCAAGCAAAGAGACTTGCAGGTCAACAGAATCAGACTTTGCTGGATCAGAGACTCTAAACTCAAGAACTAGACATAGGCTATAACTCTCTTTGGACAGTCTTGTCATTTATAAACCAGTCTTCTGAGAAATTGTAAATGACACACAGAATGAAACGTAATTTCTAGGCCAGGGTAGTAGAGTCTGATAGACCACAGACCTGTGATCTCAACTGGAACAATATAATGTTCAGAGAACAAAAAGGTAATAGCAAAGGCAGTGAGGAGGGCAACTATCAGCACTCTTTTTGCTATGTCAGTCCATGTTTTCATATTTAGACACTAAAAATTTAGACCTCTTCCCATGAAAACACTAGTTAACTAAAACAATGAAATGTCTTTATGCCTGTCCGTCTGAAGTTCTCACAATGAACCAGATACATGCCATGTGGTCTGTGACACTGTCTTACATAGGGTGATTGTATAAACCAAAAGGTGGTTTCATCTCACTTTTACACAGAGAAAACATCTGTCAGTGCCCAGAAGCTGCCATCCAAAAATGGTCTGGTTTTTTTTCCCTTTATTGATGTCTCTTGAGCTGCCCTCACTACCCAGTTTTCTCCTCTTAAATCTTACTGAAACTTTCCTCTCAATTTTGAGAGGTGAGGAAAACCTCACCTTCTTTCCCATCTTGCAAACATAAACACTGCTTTTAGTCTGCACTGGATTTTGTAGAGAATTGAACTACAAGACTGAAATAGATGGAGAAAATAATATTTACATCCTAGCAATAAGCAACTCCTTCCTTCCTGCCATACATCCCTCCTGCTGCCCTCATGAAAAGAATTCACTGCTTGGATTTTAATTGGCTCTGTCTCTGACATCTGAAACCTGTCTTTGCCAGGGAGAAATAATTTCATTACTGAAAACACAGCAGAGCTACTGGGCTTCTCTGCAACCTAACTGAATTAAAGTCATGAGAAGACAAATGCAAGGGATTGCTTTCAGAGGTGAGAAAACATCAATTTGCACAGAGGATTCAAGGAACAGTGGCAAGTGCAAGGCTTCCAAGAAACATGTTTCCTTTGTGGTGTGTTTCTTCTGCATGACTCACACAGCTGTGGGACATGCCTTCAGATGGGGTAAGTACCAGCTGCTCCTTGACATCAGTACAATTTATACCAATTGAAAATAAGGAGTAACTTGGCCAGTCTAACGGACAAGCTCTGATAACATCGCTGCAGGGGCATTTACACCCCACCTATTTGCAAAAGGATGCATACCTACACCAGACCCAAATGTCTGTGGGTAAACTGGAGGCTGTATCTGCTCTCAGGAAGACAATAAACTCCAGCAGCTGGGTGCACATCAGCTGGCACAAGCGCATCTGGAATCACCCCCTTCAGTTTCCTCAAGATTTCAAAACAAAGTGTGAGCATGGAGGTTCCAAAGTGTTTGGGAGCCAGGGCTGTTAAGGAGCTGGAGTGAACAAATGACATTACCATTGAGGAACAGCTTTACCTCCTAATGTCAAATGAAAATATGCATGCTTAGCATTTTATAGAAAAGTGGTTTCTGCTCACAGAACAAAGGGATCGAGAACAGGAGATTGATTCAGAAAAGGATGGGAAGGAAAAGGGGCTTTTGTTGATGAACTTTTAACACAGATCTGTTTTAATATAAGCCTTCCTATTTGTTATGTTAGGTTACAGTTAGCCACTGCAGGGACATGTTATTACCCTAAATGCTGACACACTGGGTGTGGTGACACATGAAGTGTGGCACAGGACCACCAATCTACATTTTGTCTGCAACAGAAATCACAATTCAAGTGTTATCCTCCAATTCCTTTACAACAGAGCATATGTCTTTGCTCATGGGACAAAAAGGCCATTTCTATTACTGGCATGTGGTTCAAGTATCTAACTTCTTTCCTCTTATCTGGTAAGAAAATCCAGCTCTTGCTAATATGTTTCAAAGGGTAGCAATGGCTCCATTTTTCTGTGGAATATATAGTCGTCAGTCATGTTCACAGTAATGAAGCAAAGTAAAGCTGTTATATATCTGGCAGTGACAGTTAATGCACCTCCTCACAGAGTAAAACAAACTTGTTGCAGTAATCTAAATTTTATTGTCAGAGAGTCACTTTATTCCTTCATTTTCTTCCTTTCCTCCACTAAAATATGGTGACTTTCCCCTTTGATTTCAACAAATTCCCTTCAGCTACCAGTTGCCAGGGTGCATAGGTCAGCAGGGACTGTGAAAGAACAGTGTGATGTAATCCTTCCACTTAGGGGCTAAGAAATAAGTCTTGTGTTTCTTGCCAAGACACAGGTAGGGCTCAACTATACGATACAGGATATCCCAGCTTAGAGAAAAAAAGAGCACTAGGAGAGTCCGATAGACCATAAAATTTCCTCTACTTGCAATCTTCAATAGGTCTGAGATAAAATGGCATTGTGCTGACTAACCTAACACAAATGATCCATGTGCACGCTGTGGGGAGAACAGAACAGAACAGATCTGTGGGATGCTGATTACACTACCCAAATTCTTTAAGAGGTTCTGCAACATTTGTGGCTCACCATCAGTGAAGCAGTCCAGTCCAAATGTAATATTGTCGATAGCAATGTCAGCTTGGGAATTCCAGCCCCAGGTTGCCAGGAGTTGCAGTTCAAACCTTTGCAATAAGACATAAGTTTTAGGGAAGACAAACAAAGGTGCAGGAGAGGAAAAAAAGCAAAGCAAACCAAACTAAACCCAACCCAACCCTAAAATTACAATGTTTCCTTGTCATGGAAACATGATCATCATTATTTCCAATGTTTCCTCCAGACAAGCCCTGCTGAGCAGCCAAAAGGGCTTGCTGTACGTCTTAGACGCTCATCAACCATTAGTAAGGACCAACCAACATTCATATAATTCCACAATTAATGAGGAACAAGAATGGCAGCCCTACTTCCCCTGCTGTCTGCACACATGTAGAAATACAAGCTACTGTCCCCCACTAGTAGCTATACACAGACAACCATCCATATTAAATTACCAGAAACAGTCAGGGAATTAGACGTGTGTAAAAGGGAAGGGGGGAAGAAAATCTCCTTCTTTCCAGCCCAAAGAGACAGTTTAAAAACTAAACAGAATATGTAAAGGTCTTGGGCCTGATCCTCAGGCAGTGTAACTCAACAAGGTGGCATGAGTTTATTTCAGAAGGTCTGGACATTTTAAATTTCAGCCATAACTCCCCGAAGTGTTAGCTCTCTGGGCTGTCTCATCTTTTTCCACTGTGACTAGGTGTTAGTTACGTACCTAGGAGCTCTGTTATGTCCCATGTGCATTGCTACATTCTGAATTCACAAGGAAGAAAGAAAATGGGCCGAAGGATCTCCTTCTAATGGATAGGACTGAATAGTTTTTCATTAAATTTCAGAAATAAACAGATGTCTGATGTCCACTCCATTTAGAGTTTATTAAAAGCATATGGAGAGGACCTCTACTGCTGTCACTGGTGAAGTCAACGGTGATTTATGAGAGATCGAGCACTGACCTGCCTAACACATTAATCATTCAGCCTAGGAACACACTTGTCCTAAATTAGTGGCATTAAAATACGTGTGTGTATTCCACCCACCAACCAAATGTTGGTTGATATCCACAGTCAGGATAATGTTGCATAGCTGCATCAAAACCTTTAGGGATAAGCTGCTCTTACCCCAATTCAAGAAAGACCCCTTGTGCTTAAATGAAAGCATCCACACCTACAGGATCTTAGCACTCTGGGAGTAAGTGTTGGTGCAGTGAATGCAATCAAGGGTCTCTTGAATGACCACTCTCTTAGCTGTGGGGTTAGAGAGGGATTTTTTTGTTAGATCCACTTCCTGCAGAAACACTCCTCTTCATTAGCAGGTTTAGAGGTAGTTTTGCATTTTCAAACCTTGTATGTAAGTCAACCGAAACAGTAATTTCCCCAGTCATTTGATGGAAGAGAGTCACAGCACCCTGAGCCCAAACTAGGGCACTTCTAGGATCCACAGGCATAGATACAGCACCACAGCCTACTCCTTACTTTAGGCACTCATATGACATTATACCCTTGGTCAGATCAATCTGCTGCATCTGGTCCATGGAGGCAGAGCAAAAGAGTGTCCATGGCACTGCACTACAAGGTAAATTTCTGCTCCAGCTGAATACAAGTGGGAACCTGGGGAATGATCCCCCTCCCCCAGTACATGAAAATAGACATCTCATAAGCTCTGGGCTCTGTATGCCTCCCCTTCCTTATAACTTCAGAAAAAGGGGAGGAATTTGCCTTTTGAACTCTGTGCTGTGTTAGCCAGAGGGGTTTCCAGTGTTCCTGCTCACTGAGCTCATTTTGCTGACTCCAGTAGATTACATTCTCCAGCTCTCTGGTGTCTGGTCTTTTGCCTGTTTGATTTTCTTCTGACAGTAGCCTTTTTCCATGTGTGTGGTATGAATCAAATAAGTGAATTTGCCAGCTGATCACCAGAAGCAATTTTCCAAGCAGTTAGATGCCCAACTGGGAGGCTGATTGGCAAACTTTGTAGTCTTCCTTCTCTCCTAAGAAATAAATTAACTGGAGGAAGCTCTTGCTAAAAACTACTTGTATATCACTTCTATGGTTTCCTCATTCCTTCTGCTAAGGCTTCTCTACATCTGGTCCGTTAAGTTCAGGACCTGCTCCAGCAACTATTTGTGCTACAATTCTTGTCTACTCCTCCTCCCTGTGTGATCTGTCGCCTTCCTACCCATTTTATTACTGGCTATCATCCCTTTAAGGAACCATGGAAAAATATAGCCCTCTAGCAAGGGAAGGACAGGAGTCTCTTGAAGAGTTGGGATACAGAAAAACAATGTGACAGCACTAAAAATTTCCCTAAGTACAGCATTGCTAGAGTTTGTATTACCACAGAAAGCTGACAGCACCCATAAATGTGCAGAAAAGTAATTCATGAAGGTTTATACCAAACTGTACTAAGATTGTACAACGATGTTCATTATACACCTCTGTTTACAATTGTTTGCAGCTTCACTAACCTTAAAGCAATTTAGGCTGAACTTTTCTATTTTGGGTGATTTGGTATGACTTTTCTAGCAGTCAAAAGGTTTTGCTAGTGTTGAGGATGAAATAATGCAGGGGCTCATCGTTTTGACCATGCTCAAAAATGCTGGTAACTTTTTAAGTGCTCTGTGCTACCAGGTATTGGAAGTGGGATGTGAAATTTTTGAGGAAGAGTCACATGGCAGAGATGAACTTTTTTTCCCAGGTGAATGAGAATCTGTTAAAATTTTAAGAAAATATCTTTTAAATTTTTTAATCCCTGACACTTCCATGCCTAGTATCAGAACTAAATATTGATACAGGAATTGGAAGCTTTGGGAAACAAGCGTAAGGGACCATATATGAGAGGAGGCCGATGGTCCTAAATACCCCTGAAGAACCCCATGGTCTCTGCTGTGGATAGGTCCACATGAAAGTGCCTTAGGAAAAGACCTGTTCTGGACAAATTCACGGGTCATACTTTACATATACATAACTAAACAGATGCTAATCCACAGGGCTCCAGAGAAGAATATTAAATACAGTGCTAGCAGGTAGACCAATCCTACCCTAAAAGAATAATACATGAGAAAAGTGCATATGATGAACACATGATAATAGTGAGAGCAAAGGTAATCATGCAATTAAACCAGAAAGAGGGTAAAAAAATGTTCTCCCTCTCTCTCTCTCTATCACTTCCAGACCCAAATACCGTAGCCTTTTTCACAAAGATGCAAAGAATATTTGAAGGTAAAAGGAATTTCCTCACACCTTCTATTCCATGAAGTTTTGAGACATTATTTATTACCAATATTGGGTAGATATATTTCCATTTATAGTATTCAGTATGTGTATAGACTTGGACTTTTTTTTTTATCTTAAGTTTCATGTGAAAGAGGCCTTCCTGAGGAAGATGAAAAAGAACAGATTGGAGAAATTGGAAACACGTTCCTGTTGTGCAAAATAACCAGCTGCCAACACCAGCTACATAACTTGAGATGGAGTGACACTGGGTGAGGGAGGAGAAATACCTGAATAAAATTAGATCGCATTGAAATTCTTTGAATCTTCAATATTTGACTTCATTTGAGACCAATGTTGCACTGTATTTTCCCATCTAAACCCTTGAAAACTTGAGTGCAAGGCTAATTTGGGCAACAGTCTTTTCCTAAGATTATTGCATCAGTGATGTGTCAAGAAATGATCTCCAGCTGCCTAGGCTGCACTGACATAGATCGTAGACTAGACAGTGGTATTGGCTAAACTGTGGGTTTACCGTCCATTTGACTGACATGACTGTTTTTTACTGTGGGAGTACAAAGTGCAGCTATGCTAATATAGCTGCTTACCTATTGGGAGCACTTTGCCCCTGTGAATATACTGGCTTTCTCAGACTGGTAAAATGTTTCTAGAACAGATGCTTCCTATTCCCAAAACCTAAGTACTGTTTGAGGCTGCACAGAAGTGCAATCACATGATGTGGGCTTGTGTTGAGCTGAGCTGTGTGTGTGCACAAAGATACGCGCTTATACTTTCTGAGTAAGCAGAGTCACTTGAAATGGCCCTGAAACAAGACAAGAAAAAAGTGACACTTCACCATAAAGACAGTAACAATTTACTAAATCTATAGGGATAACCCTGGATGCTGATGGTGGAGCTCTTACCGGTTCTGAAGCACTGGCATTGGTAAGGTGATGAGAAACCAGTGGTCACTCCAGCTCCCTGCCCTTTCCCACATTGGCAAAATGACTGGAGCTCCCTTTATTTCTTCCTTGACAGAGAAGGAGACAGTACCATTGTAGCTGCCAAATACATGCACTGAGAACTGGATCTGTAATAAAGGAAGAAGAGGGAAAGAACAGTAACCTGTGACAAAAAAGGAAAAGTAGTCACTTCTCCCCTCCCTGGGGATTTAAGACACCAAACCTCTGATCCTGGGTCAAACTGTTTAATCACAGAGATCACTAAGCCCCCACTCATTGATTGTGTATAACTTAACAGCACTGCTATCATAGAATTTTCTTAATTTCTCATTAATTTTCTTAATTTCTCACCCTGCTGACACTCCTATTGGACAGCTGTTCTTTAGCCACTGACAACTACCCATGGCCTCAGACACCATCTGGGAGTGAGAGCACTGGTTTCCTTGTTATCACCTTCTCCAAGGGGAGAGCTGTCCTACCCCAAATACCCCTGAAATGAGGGGTATTTCCCCTACAGGCAGGAAACCTCAGTAGATATACTTGCTCCAAATCATAGGCACCCTCTCTGTTGTAGCACCCATATGACAAGTGAACAACCTGATCACCAGGCTACAGAATATTTTGAAGCAGGACTCATTCCTCTCTTTTTTGAGCAACCACCAGTTTGCCGCAAAGCAGGAGAAAACTGTCATTTCTGCTATTGCTTTGAATGCTCAGCTGTTCTTCATATTACAGAGAGCTCTGGTATGGGCAAGAAAAGGAGCATACACACGTGTGCTGCAAAGCACAACCACAGGAAGTTCCTTGCTCCTGAAATGTGGGTTCAAATCCTTGCCAATGGAGGAGAGAATGGATCCAAATCTCCTGTGACCTCCACACAATAACCAACAGCTAATGCTTCTCCTCTCCTCATTTTGTAAAGCTATCTCCAAGCATATTTTATTTTATTGGAATTAGCCAGAAGACATGACCTGGATTTATAAATAAATATAAATGCTGAAGCTACATTTCTGGCACCTGCACTGTATTCCTTTTCCCAGCTCTAATTAGGAGGCATCAAAGCTTTCTCTTTTTTCCCTAGCAAGACTCCAGCTCAAACTTGCAGCTTAATTTTCCTAAGTGTTATAACTATAATAATATTTAATAGTTTTAATTCCAACATCTCAGAGCTGCCCAAACCTCTTTGTAAAGATATGGGCTGAAGACAACTTATGTGATTTTATCCAGGTCAGGTTGCCCTTATGTTTTGAAATTCCTGAAGAATGTGAACAGAAGTTTATTATCTTCGTCTATTTCTGGAAAATCTAATGCCTTCTAACTTCACACTCCTGTCCTCAGTGAAACTGTCAAGTTTGTTAACTCCTATAAAAGTATTGCAGAATTTATGAAGTCTCAGCAGCAGGTACAGTGAATGGTTCAACAGCCCTACCAACCAGTTCCCTTTGCTATAAATCAAGGCTAGCCCACACACTTCCAGCTGTGGCTACCTTTCAGAGGAATAGTTGGTACAGGTAGGCTGGGGAGTTTTCCATAGTGAGTAACTGATTCGGGACTCCTGCCTTCCCTTACGGGGGATGCACCTTACATCTCCTTTCCAGTTCTCAACTAGTAGCTAGCTAGGCAATATATCCAAGTCTTCTGCTTTCCAGAGTTTTGCAGGGTGTGCAGAGGGACAGGATAGTGGGTTATTGTGCAAATAGTGCTTACAGCCTGATGATTTACTCCACAAAGGTGGTGACAGAGTGCTATACCTGGTAGCCTTCAGTGGCAATACTGGCAGGCAAGCTGGTACTGTAAGCCTTAGCCATTCCGCTCGTCTGAGTGCTGTCTGCTCGCAGGTAGAGGAAATGTCCTGTGAACATAAAAGTGAATCAGAGAAGACAAAATAATCTTTTGATTTCTTGTGTAATCTCTTGAAATAATTTAACATCATTATTGTTAATGTAGGTACATAAATGCAGGTAAACGTAGGTGTAAGCGTAAGCATGGCTGAAAAACCTCAGATACCACTCAAGTTCTTCCCATACAGGGGCTCACATCAATCTACAGCCCAAATTCCTATACCATTAGCATCAATGACTCTTGCTGAGACAAACACTGGGCTGTTTGCAGTCTTTGTTCTCAAGAGACAAACAGGACACTCATATGGGCACCCTTCATTTTGACAGGGAACTGTGAGACAAGACTCATGTGTGTTAGCGCTTCTGACTTTCATCCTGAATATGTGAGAGTCTGGCTTCCCTCCTTCTTAATTACCAAGCTGATGGTTCTGCAGTTCTGGGAATGCTTTGACTCTTTTTTTACTGTGGTATTTTATGGCAGTGAATGTGTATGATCACTTGGGATATGCTTACATGTGATGTTCTTCCTAATCCAGTGGTGGAGTGTGGCAAGGGTCTTCAAAAGATTTGTTTTCACAAGCTGCCTAGTTCTGTTGGGTGATTTTTATTTTGTGATGCAACAGCTATCATATTGCTGCTGAAGTACTCTGCAGTTGCATAGCTCATAAGAATAAGAAGGTAGAAAGAAGTTACACAGAGAGAAGAAAATTCCTTAGATAATTTTTTAAAGTGGAGGAGAATCCTAGTCTCTCATAGTTGTGTTAACTTTGTTGTGGAACTTGTTTAATATAAGTTTTGAACCAAGTTCAAAAGCTAATTTTAGGTATATTTAAAGTTGTTATAGATAATACTGATGCTAAAGTTCATTTGGCAATGGTGCCAAAATTTTTAAACTAATTAAAAAAACTTAAGTTCAAGGCTATTGTGTATATGTAGGCACAGAGAGTGTGAGAGAGAACTATGAGGAACTTACCACCAGTGGCTTGCAAGGTAGACCCTACGAATAAGTCGTCTTGAATCATTTCAGAAAAGCCCTGAATAGACCAAGGAGATCCTGTAGTTTCATTCAGTGTCCAGCCACATGGACCCTCTTCAAAAGAGCAGTGTGAGCCCTCTGGGAGACTGTCTACAATTGAGAATAAGAAAAAATAGGAAAATAGGAGAAAATTGGTTATGGAAGAACACAAACAAAAAAAAGAGAAAACTCATTGCGGTTGTCCAAGCTACCCAACCTACACTACAAGCTACCCAACCTATGCTACACAGTTTCTCAATGTCAAAACACATCTCATTTGTTTATTTCCAGAGTCACCATCAGAAAGCCAACACTTTGCTTCTGGAAATATTTGAGACTTTACCATGCTTTCTAGTCTAGGTACTGTGCAGAACTGCAGCTCCCATAATCTAAGGAATGATAAGGCACTGCCATATGTTTGTAAAGGCCTTGCTGCATATGGCATTGTAGGAATCACAGTTTTCTCTGTCCACTCAAAGGAAGGCAAATCAACAGATTATTTTAGATCTCTGCTACTGTACTTGCAACAAAGCTAAATTATGCTTCTCAGAGCTACATATACTGTCAGAGGATTTCTCTGTCCTGATGTGCAAGGACTTTGAACTGGGATCTTGGAAGGACAGATTTACGATGTTGTTGGTGACTGACAGTGGAAAGATGATCAGAACCTTCCACAGAAGGGGGGGTTTAGATCTTGGGTCCAAAAGGAAATGCTCAACCAGCTGCAGACATCTAAATAAGGTTTTGCCTTTCACTGAAGTAGCAATAACTATGAAAGGCAGGTCATTTAGCTCCTTCCTGCAATATTTAAAAACTCAAACCAATCAAAAAATATAATCCATTTTATTCCATTTAGGGTGATTTCAAAGAGAATATGGGTATCCAATTAATGTAAGTGGGCCAAATTAATTCAGGAGGTAAAATACTGAATTAATCTAGAGATAAAATCAATTTATTTTTCACTCTAAATTATTTCTTCTTTTGGGATGAAGGTTCCCATGAACTGCCATGCCACATACTCACCACATCTCTCTCCTTCCTGTTCTTTGGCAGGGCAGTCACTGATGAATTCACAGATCTGTAGGTGGCTGACACAGCCTCCATGAAGGCAGGGGAAGGTGGAGCCTTTGTCATATATAAAAAGGTCTTGATTTTCTTTATCTAATGGAAGAAAATAAAAGAGAAAGAAGATTAGAGATGAGATGAGTTGACAGAATGTGACCCTTCATGAATATCACCCTTCTCATGTAGGACCTCAGAAACTGTCCTTTGGATGATAAATTATACTCATCTCTGCTTTTTTATGTAGGTTTCTCTCCAGAATGACATTCCTGCAGATCACCTAAGCTCTCATGGCAACCAAATTTATTGGTCCTTTCTTTCTCATGTGCTGCTTCAGTTGTGTTTGTGCTATCTTTAGACAACAACTTTTTTTTTTTTTAAATGAAGGATCTTACAGTTTTCTACCACGGTGTGCTCCTCAGTTCTGCACACATGACTGTGCACCTGCCAGGCAGCTGTGGCATGCTGCATGACACTGCGGCAGGAGGCAGAGATACTCACTTAGCTCCAGTCCTGGCAGGCACATTGCTATGCCCTGTTGAGACTCAAGTGTAACTAATTTAACACATTTCATGAGCACTCCTGTGCTGGCTTCCAGCTGTGGCATCCAGCCTGTGAAGATAGCTGCTTTGCCAGCAAGTTGGCTTACTGTGCAGGAACTTTATTCATGCACCCTAGTTAGTCTGGTCAGCTATACTCTGGAAGCATTTGACTGACTGCACAGGTACCCATCAACCAGGCTGAACACAATTTTTAACTCTGATACTTCCCAAAAGTGTGACTTAATGCAGCCAGCCTGTTGTGTGGATGCATCTGTGCACAGGTCTGTTATGGACTGGCAGGTTTGTGTAGTTCTCCTCTGGACCTGCTGCCCTTTATCAGAGCTCTGCACACCAGATCCACTGGGATTATTACTACTCTGGAAAAAATGCAGAAGTTAGGGAATCAATTGCAGAAGAAAGAGAAAAGAACACTTCTGCAGCCATCCAGGTACACAGTCTGAAATAGTATTTTTTCATGACACTGTGTTGTGATAGATATATGCATCATTATTTAGAGACTGAGAGCACAGCACTTCAGGCTGTATGCATCCCTTCAAAACTACAGGACTGTCGAA